AAGTAGTTATGGATATTAAGTTCAGTTTTGAATTCAAAAGTAGTCATCAATTACATGGACACCAAACATTAACACGAAACCACAAAGTCTCAAAACACTTTTGAGTAGTAGAAGTTTGTACATCATATTTGTTATTGTAAAGGGGTAAACTTAAGAAAACCTAAACAGTAGATGAATATGTAACTATTGCTTTTCCCATTGATGAGCCATGAACATAAAGGTCATAGGTCCACTTTGCTCGATAAGAAGGAACTTTTTCGGGGCACACAAGTTGTACATCCATGTCCATTTGAAGTACTTCAGCCATCTTCATCACCAAAACCCCACAATCTCCACTGAAAAAAGAGTCATATATCTTTTAAACAATCAGTTTTGTAGATTATTAAAAAGAAGAAAAAAACAGTTATATAAGAGAATATGTCACATACCCATTGACCTGTTGTGGAACACCATGGACCACTTTAATGGTGGCAGAACTAACATCAGTAGATTTACGTCCATGGGCAGAAGATCGCATGTAAGATAAGATCAGGGAAGACAGTGAATGAGGCCACGCATGTCATTACACATTTTTTTTTGTATGGCAGCGCATCTGTTGTTGGTATCATACACAAACAAAGTGTTTGCATGAACATCAAGAACAACAAGAATCCAATGTTTGGATTCAAAATTAAATGGGAAGTAGATGTAGTCACACTCAATCCATGGGCGTAAGTATTGAGTTTCATCTCCTCCCATCACATCATTAACATATGGATCCTGTGCTGCTTTTGTCAGATTACTCGAACCAGACTTATACGAATCAAAGAGAAAATTAAGATGACTCGGAAAGTATTTGCATGCAGTACAAAATTTTTGGGGGAAGTTAAACGTAACAGCTTTCAGGCGGAGATAAAAATCAATGGCCTGGATATGCTGAAAAAATGAGAAATGCATTTAGTATAACTGAAAAAATATATTGACACGTGACATATTGATATATAGTTACATACCGTGGCATCTAGCCATTGACCAGGTTCATGAAGTCGATAAATCCAAGACTTTCTATCCACTTCCAATCCAGGGTCCAAATCCAAGTGAAAATTTTTATCATATTCTGGTGCGTACTTAGTCGATGTAGCTAAAGATCCATGACCTCTAATAACTCCTTCCATTATGGTTTTATAAAAACTGAGTTTTTCAGACTCAGATTTGAACTCAGCAAAAGGATCATGACTGAATGGACAAATAGCTTGGAGAGTACATCCCTTCTTCTTAGCTTTGCATATAGCACCAAACCCTGGAGTATAACGTATTGGGGAACGAACCTTGCGTTTTGGTCTGCCTTGTTCTTGTTTGGCATCCAAGCAAATCACAACATCAGTCTTAGAAGGGGAAAGCTAGAAAAAATAGTAAAAAACGAGTAAAAAAAGTAAAAAGAGAGAAATTACAGTTAGATAATATAGGTCAAAGACCATGACAAAATCACAAGTAAAAATAAAGTGACATGAGGAAATGTTTAGGACAGACAGTTAGTCACATGGGATGCACCCTAAAATGAATTAATACTCAATACATACTACTAATAATCATATGTAAAACTAAAATCATTTCCAATATTGAGAAAAAAAAGTATATGTAAAAAAACCTGGAGCTGCACAGGTGGTAAGATTTGATCTGATTTTGGCAAGGTATCACCATGACAATCAGAAGAATGTAATATCGCTGCCTGGAAAAATAAAGTCAATACTAAGAAATGAAATATAAATTATAATGTGCTAATGGGTAAAAATTTATAGTTAACCTGGATGGTATCAGACTGATTAGCACTTGGAGCCAAAGTAGCACTTTGAGGTACAACGACGAAGAATGATGGCTGCAATAAAAAAGGATGAATTCAGTGTGTAATAAATAGTGATCCTAGAATAATTCTGAAAAGTGCATTCACATTTGATTCAAAAATGTCGAAGACAACAATAAAAATTTGGGTCAAACCAACATCTTCAGAATCAATATTTTTCTGGCCATCGTCTTCAGAAGGTACATCCATAGTGACACTACCAACAGGAACAGGGAGAGGGATAGCTTCAGCAGATTTATGCATCTTGGATGAACCTCGAAGTGTATTGTCTTCATAATTAGCTTCATGTACTTGAAGATCCTGAATCGGCCGAGGAGAATGAGTAACATTATGATGAGAAATGTCAACAATGGCTTTGAGATGATCAATCGCTTGTTGTTGATGCATAAACTTTTCTTCAAAGTCTAAAACCTGAGTTCTGAGCTTTTCAACTTCCGTTTCGAGCACAAAATCCTAGACTCCAGAACTAAGCGGGTTGAATCAACATAATTGTCTTTGGGGATTGGAATTGAAGGTTCAACAGCATCACTAGCATCAATCCCTTTAGGTTTTCTTCCCGATGTAGAGCTCTGACGGTTCTGAGGGTTTAGTAAAGTCTTCTTCACCATAGAATTGAGTTTTGTAGCATTTGGCTTGCACGAGAGCAGCGCTAGAGGGTGATATGGGACTGAAAATGAACTGAAATACATAATGTTAGTTAGAACAATTACTACAACAAAAAAGTACTGAAAACAAAAAAAGTAAATGCGTATGAACTATAAGCAACTTACTTCCTTATTACTAAAAATGGACTCCTTCAGTGATTGACTTGATGGCTTGGCAGATGAAGACCATTTCAGAATACATGGGAGAGCATCAGGATCAACTAGACGAGCTATACCAAGGTCTTGTAACGCAAGAAATGACTCAAAAGCCCAAACTTGTAAAGCGAGAACACAACCACAGACATTGTAATGCGAGGGATTCGATGAAATTCTCTTCACAACAGCAGAAAAATAACTAACCATATCATCCCAAATAACCCTTCCCCAAGGATAGGAATTGAAAGTAGCTATATTATCAACTAGATTAATGTAACGTGGACACAATGACACTTGAGATTCAGCAGCCAAAAATGCACAGGATAAAACATAGAGTAGAGAAAGCTTAAGGATGTCCTCATGTGGTTCTTGACCCCTTTGAATTGACTGAAATACCATCTTAATATCCTTGCGCTTAACATTTTTCTTAAACCCTGGAAAGTACTTTGTCCAGATATAACCCCTCTCAGTGTCAACAGATTGATCATGAAGAACATTTTCATTTAGAGTGAACCCCATAATTTGAGAGAAGTCAGAAAAAGAGAATGATATAACCCTATCTTCAATTTCAAAATGCATAGCATTTGAACTGGTTTTGAACTCTACTAAGTTTCCTATAAGAAAATGTAGAAGTTGGCAACAACACGACATCTCCTTAACATCTAAAAACTTTCCAAAGACAGAATTTCTAAATAAGGTAATTTGATCAGGAAGTAGTTTAGACTTCACAAGGTTTATTGAATTAGAAATTCTAGAAAAAGTGTTAACTCTTCTAACTTTTAAGTCCTGATAAACAACATCTTTGTTGACCAATCTTGTGTAGGTCTGGAAAGAAGACAAATAGAAAAAGAATGAGAAACGACACCTAGAAAGTAATAAAAATAAGTCACTGTGAATATAAATACTTACTGGTTTCGCCCTATGAGTCAATGATAGACGACTAGATGAGCGTCGAGACGGTGTTTGTGCAGGAGATATGAAGTCACTGTCAGACATCTAAAAATAAAAAACGGATTAAAAGTGAAAAACAATACAGAAAATGTAGGCTACTCAGATTAGATTGAAAGTATTTAACAAAATAATAGAATACATATTTTAAACTAGTCATTTTAGGATAATTAGTTTTATAAAGTATTCATAATCAAAGCATTCGAGAATCTGTAGGATGGCAACTCAGTAATACCGAGATAAAAGGCTCTCAAAAATTTCAATGCAAAGTACGAGCTACGGTTTCAAAGTCAAACTTGAGCATACGATTCCACATGCGATTATATGTATATGTGCGATTATATGTATATCTATACATGCATACAAAATTCATAAAACAGCTACGAATTTTAGGTAAATACCTTCAGAAAATAAGATTCTGACTTGAGAAAGATGAAATCTGAAATCGCGATGGGAAAGGAGACTTCAACGAACACAAAAAGCTACTGAAAGAAGGAATTGCAGAATGTTCATTGTTGTGTATAGTTCATCGTGAAGAGAAGCGGTTAATCGAGGAAGATAGAACAGAACATAGAGAGTGGGAAAAAATAACGCGCGGCACTGGGCCCCTAGAACGGCATTGGGCCCCATTTTTTAAACTGGGTCACTTTTTTGAGAAATTTAAAAACACTCATATTTTTGTCTTTAGAAACATGTGGTGTAATATTGGGGCCATTATTTCAAACTATAAGAGGGTATGCGAAATGAATAATCATTGTATAAAAATAAAGATCTTCATAAATCTTTTGATTAATTATTTGTAAATAATGACTACTAATTGTTAAATATTGTATCGAACTTCACATAAAATATAAGTTTCAACATTTTATTTGAATATTTATTATAGAAATAAATATTGTTTTGGCATGGTTGTAATTTTTTATTTGTAATTATAATAATATTGGTAGTAAAAGGACAATATTTAAAATAATAAAATTCAAAACTATATTTTTGTATTTTGGCCGGCAGGCCAACCCGCAACCCGGTGAGCCAACCCACTTAAACTCACAACCCGCGAACTAAATGGGTCAGAAATTCTCAACCCTAACCCACCAATAAATGGGTTTAAACGGATCAGCCCGCGGGTTTCGGCCCATTTTGACGGCTCTACTTTTTCTCTCAAGAATTAAATTAAAGGAAGACAATACGATATCAACCTAATATTATGATTTCAGTATGATGGTAGTTACTCTTACTCATTTGGGTAATGGGTCCAGTTGTATTTATGTCCAAAACTAATGGGTTTCAGGGGAACACCAGTGTTAATGGGTTTCATTTGGGTAATGGGCCCAAATGTATTTATGTCCAAAACTAACTGCCCATGGGCCTTTAGCAGCGGAGACTTATAATCCTTCCTCCCGCGGTCCCGCCTCAGATTTCGCCCTTTTAAACCGCAGGCTTCAAATTCCATAACGTCCATCTCCAACTTCTACTCGAGTAAGCTTGGATGAGTTGGATCAAAGGAAGGCGATGGAGCGAAGGTTCAATTCACATCCTTCTCACGCTCAGCGCTCTTCGAGCCCTGGCTTCAATCGAGATCAGGATTCCGACTACCAATACGGTATTCCGATCGTTTCGTATCCTTCCATTTTATCGCTATCAAGCAGCGTCAGGTCATAATTAATCGCCTAATAAGCTCTTTAGAACGAGAAATTGCAATTCTCGTTGGATTCACACATCAGAAAATCGTTTGCTCAACTGATCAGATTGTGAACATTAAAACATAGTATGTGAGTCTGTGACTGTACACTGTATCGTATAAATGAATGAATTAGTTCTTCAAATTGGTCTGAGTATACCTCAAGTGGTTATGGTTAGGCTCTTTTAATCGTACCTAAAGGGATAAAGGTAGGCTGGAAATTCTTCCCAGGCTGTACGGATCATGCTTGTCATTTTCTAGTTTGACAAAGCTGATTTACTATTCAGTTTTCCAAATGAGGGGAATTATTGTAATGCAGTAAGCTCAAAGCCTTGAATAGCTACAAGTGGATTGAAATTCTGCCAGAAATTTTCTGTATTGGAGTTCATCTAATTTCTCCGCCTCTGTAAATTGATAAAATGGATGGGTTTGCAACACAATGAAATCATGGTAGTCCTAACCAGTACCAATGTATTTTTAGAGATAATTGAATCCATTTAATTGGTTTAGGCTAGCCACCACTACTCATTCACCGGTTTGATGTAAATTTAAGCTTTTTAATTATATGCTGCCCAGTTGTAGTACCTACATATCCACACTTTTTCCTGTTAGGTAAAGGCAAGGCAAAAAGAGTGAGATTTACAGATGTTGACAGTGAGTGTGCACGAAATAACAGATCAGGTATTTTTCAGCTGGATATGAAGCAACAAGGGATCATAGATATATCCTTCCATCTTAAATGTTGTCTTTTGTTTTTCAAAGAAGTTCTTGTTGCTTTTATAAACTTGTAAATGTTACTGAATCTCTCTATATGATCGATCTATTATAGTCCTCAGTTCTTCTAAAGTACCAGTTGGTCTATATCGATATTAATCCATAAATTGTTAATATTAGGGAAGATGGTATTCCCAAAACTTCAGAGTATACGTACTTTAAAAAAGTGAAGGAGTCGTTGGGGAAGCATGATCATCAGTTTCGGAATAAAGAAAGTCAACAAGAACTGAAGGACATTGGGAGTTGTTATGCGAACGGCATAGGAAAACTGAAAGAAAAAATGAAGACACCTAACACTAATGATTATATTGGTGGTATGTTATTTTTCTATATGTAACTAAGCCTGTAGATTCTGCATTTCTCGTTAATTTGAAACCTGAAATTGTTGATTTTTTATATTATTTCAAAGAGGCTTTGAGAAAATCCACTCTGAACTGCCATGTTGGACACACCAAGATGTCAGCTCAGCCGGAAAAAGTAATTCTGAATAACCGGTGCATGTCTGTCTTGCCCGGAGAAGAGAGATGTAAGAGCCCTGTTGAGGTATGAAAAAAACATTTCTTCGACCAGTAATTTATGATGCTCAAATTTACTTTATTTAATGTTTTCATTTCATTATTATTTAATGATAATTTTGTTGCTTAGTAATGCAGGAATGCCCAGCAGGCTTAAAATACCCTCGCATTTCACATCATAAGACTATCGAAGTCCTAGACAAAGATTTGTATTTATCACCCCCTCGAAGTGCTCTCTCAAAACATTCAGGTTCATACTGTGTTTATGTGTGACTTTCTTATTAACACTTTCATATGCTAAACAAGCATGACTAACTTAATTTTGAGCATCAGGCAGCCAATACTTGGAGAGTCAAATTTTTTCTGTGAAGAGGCAGAAGTTATGCCGGTGGGCAGAAATGACTTTAGCTGGAAGTCGAAACTCCAGTTCCCAGGGGTGAGCAAATGATTTGTTTAAATTGTAGTGTATATGATATGTTAGTCAATCATTGTTTTTTCTCTAGCCATTAAACCAGTTTAATTCATTTGAATTACCCCAGGTATGACATGTTGGCGGTGCTCCTTAGTCGTCTTTGCCCCAATAGGAACGAGAACAAAGTATGATTTCTATTTTCTCATAATATGGAGCACATTCATCATTTGACAATTGCTCTCTTTCCTTGCTGATATTTAATTTGGGCATCGTTGTTAGGGTTCAACTGCCATAGACGATACTGGTTGCTCAACTGTTCTTACAGAGCTGAATCTCTCTGAGATGAGGCATGATGATCATAGTCACATAAGAGAGTCAACCACACCAGAGGGTGAATCATTCCAATGTAGGAAACTTTCTAGACAGTGGGGTGGAACAAGAAGCGTAATGCATTGGTCTGCTCTTCCTTCTTGCAATTCAGAGTTCAACAAATTAGAGTATGAACCATTCCAATGTAGGGAACTTTCTATATTGTCTGGTGGAACAAGAGGCATACTGGATTGGTCTTCCGAGTTAACCACATCAGAGCATGAATCACCCCGATCTACAGAACTTTCCAGATGGTCTGGTGGAACAAGAGACAAAATCGGTTGGTCAGCTTTTCCTTCATATGATTCAGAGTTGACCACATCAGCGTATGAATCGTCCCAATGTAGGGAACTTTCCAGGTTTGGTTGTACAGAAAGAGATGCAATGGGCTGGTCTTCTTTCGCTTCACATAATTCAGAGTTAACCACAGCAGAGTATGAATCATACGAAAGTAGGGAACTTTCCAGGTGGTCTAGTGGATTGAGTGATATAATGGACTGGTCTGATTTTGGTCCATATAATTCTTCTACAAAATGTAAAGCAAGACTTGTTCAGCACAGTGAAGCGGTGGATAATAATTATGCTTCATATAGTGTAACACCCAAAAGCTGGTTGAGACCTATTGATTCACCTGTGCACTTAAAGCAAGAGAGGTATAGATATAGTGATTGGTATCATCACGAAAAACAGGATAGCTTCTGTTTACAGGATGAATCTTCAAGAATTGTACCAGAAACCTTGTTGCTGGATTGGGATTTTGATAAGGAGAAAGATGAACCTGAACTAGGCATAATTACTGCTAGCAGCTGTGTGAACGAACTACATTCACAAATTGTAACTCCAACCAAACATTCTCTACACGTTCATGCCTCACCTTTCCCTCCAACTGCCTTGCCAGGGGAAGAGCTAAGTTCTGCACACTTTTATTCGTTGTACAATGATGATTGTGGCAATGCAATTTCCTATTTTGTAAATGATCCTCAGAGTACTCCGTTCAAAGTTTTCAGTGAGAAGCGTCACTTAGATTGCAGTTTCCTATTTCCTGTGGTACTGAATATTTCAGAAGGGGACATCTTAACTAGTTTCCCTTTGCCTGGTCATTCTACTCTATATTCTGGTAGAAGTGCATATAGTATTCAATCACATAAAGCATGGAACTTAGGAAGTTCAAATCCAATCCAAATCAATTTTCAAGAAGTGTCTGACTCTCATGAGGAGCACATCTTTGACAGAATGATTGGCGGCCCTTTGTTGCTTAAAGACTCAAGTGGGGCTAGATCAGATGAGAAACCATTTATTGGACATAATGATGAATGGGAAATGTAGCTGAACATACAGGTACACTGGCATATATGTGGAGGACTTGAATATATGCCATGTTGCATTTTATTTCATAAAAGTGTTTCTTACTCCATATCTTTACATCAGTTGCATATGGTTTTGGCACAGCTATTATAAATGAACAGGAGTTTAGTAACTCTAATTTGTTCCCTAAAACAATAGTAACTCTAATCTGGAATAACGTAGTACTAATAGGATGCTAGCTTACTTTGTATGGTTTCATGATAAGTTTTTTCTTATTCTCCTTGGAGAGAGCCCAGTAGGGGGCTTGAATGAGTTTTTTCATGATCTTCACCCTTCTGGCCACATAAAATGGAATGACCAGAGTAGAACTATAAAACAAAGTCTAGTGACCGTTCAACAACTGGCTGAGAGAGAACCTTAGAGCGTCACAGAAAACAACAAATCGATCAATATAGATCGAAAAAAATCTGCAACTAATTTTATCCTCATTTGTTCGTTTAAGCTTTGTGAAATAGTTCCTCTCCAGACCCGTCATGCGTTAATTGCAACTTCAGGGGGAAACAAAATGAATACCAAAAGGAAGAAGAAAGAGAGGATGAACTATGGGAGGGAAAGTGTTGTAGAGATAGCACAAAAAAACAGTAAAGAAAATGGGGGTCGCCGACGCCCTGCGATTTTTGCCTGGTGATGGTCGGAGAATCACCAGAGAAGACAACTGAAGTAATGATCGATTTTTGCCACACTTTCTCTTCGGCGACGGCCATATCTAGTAGATTCAGAAAAAAATAATAGGAAAAAAGAGGAAAAACGATATCAGAAAGTGTGTGAAGATGAATCACGTGTGGAAAGAGCCGGTCAAAAGAATAACCTATTCGGCTTTTTCCCTTTTCTAATTTATTGTTTTAAACTGTTGAGTAAGTTGTAGGTCACCTAGACTAACTTGAGAAGATGCCATATAATTTTGGGATTATTTTAGAATTACTCAAAATTGGGATTAATATTAGAAGAACCTCAATACTTGGGATTATTAATGTAAATTTTTCCCATTTTAAATTCTGAATCACCTAATTATCTTTTGTCCCTCATGTTTTCTTCCTGATTATAAAACACTTCACCTAAAAATGCATTTTTTTAAGTTTATCAACAAGAAGTAGCTACAGAAATTCAAAGTAATAGCTTTCCCTACTTCTCAACAAAATTTCAAAATTTATACCTTATGACTAAATCAATAAACCTAGGAATGAATTCGTAGTTACCTTTAACTAAGTGTGCAATTTAATTTGTTTATAATTGTTTAAACCTAAGTGTAGAAGAAACTGTAGATCGAAATTTTCTTGAAACACTTGCATCAGAGAGATGTTGATGAGATGAGGCCTGTTGGATCAGTTCGTATAGAAAAGGCCCAGTCAAAGGTGGAGCTGGGGGTTGTGGTGGCAGTTGTCCGTTCCTAAACAAAGCACACTTGAAGTCATGTAAATTATTGGCGAAATTGACACCAATAATCTCTATTTTTACACATTTCATAAAATATGGGAGATTTCTCAATATAGGAGCAAATGGAGTTTTAAATTCCAAAATAGGACTACTATATTTTTATTTCCGAAATAGGACTAATATGACAGTATTTACTGTCATCTTGTAGGCGTGACTGTCAAATGGTTTCAGTACAGTGCATTTAACATGACAATATTTATTATAATTAATGACAATATTTTTTAATTATGGCAGAATTTTTCATACATGGCAGTAAAAACTCCTATTTCGAGAAGAAAAATATAGTAGTCCTATTTTGGAATTCCAAACCTCATTTACTCCTATTTAGGACAATTTCCCTAAAAATTATCCATACTTGAAAAGTTCACAACAATAATTCTAACTAGTTAACTATTTTACAAATGTAAACTGAGAGCTAACGGTGTACATTAAGTTTTTCATTATTTGTTTTTGTTTTAAATATATTAAAGCGAATATATATATAAACATTGATAATAGTATACTTAACTTTAATCTTGTTTCTACTACAAATTGAAATTAATATTCAATATTTTTCATAAAAATAATAGATATATTTGAACAATACATAGTACATACTCTTTAAATTCTCTACTCTTTTACTCCTTATCCATGTTTTTTTATATTCCTTTTTTTATTCATTATAATAGAGACTTCAAAGTAGTTTTAGTAATACTACATTAAATATTAATACAAATTATGTAGAATATTGAATATTTAATACGGATATTTCTATTATATTTTATAAAAAATATTAAATATTAAATTAAATTTATCGTAGAAAAAGAATAAGCTCAGATATAATATTATTAATTTTTGTACATATTCTTTCTTTGATATATTCAAAATTAAAAAAATTAATGGAAAAGTAAACACCGTTAGCACTCTGATTATTCTTATGAAACAGTTAACTAGTTGAGATTATTTTTGTGAAATTCACCGGTAGGGATTATTTTTGTAAAATGTGTAAAAGTAGAGATTATTAATGTCAATTTCGCCTAAATTACTTTGAGAACTTGCAGTTTGTTTGGTTGAGATTTTAAGAAGTGTTAATAATAGAAGTATCACAAGGTGCAGACGGTTATGTGAGGCAAAGATGGTTCATGTAATCATGTTTAAAGGAAGTTTTTATTTATTTATTGAAATTGACAAATACATTTAAATAAAATTGTATGAAGTTAAATATACTATTTTTTTACTTTAAAGCTCGTCTCTTGCACTTTTTAAAGCTCGTCTCTTGCACTTTTTAAACTTTGGTTGAATCATTTCAAATAGAAAAAAACGGTGACACTTTTGTAAATAAGTCAAAGTTGTATGCCTTCGTGAAAAAGTGCAATATAGAAAGCTAATAGTGCATCAGAATGGGGGAAAAGTGATCGGTTTGTAGTTTTCACGGGAAGAAAGATTTTTATTTGATCCGGAATACACACACACACACACACATATCCTAATATATATAAAATGTCTAAGAGAGTTAGCATGGTCCTATTTCCGTTACTACAACCCTCACGATACAAACGTCTGTTGCTTTCCTCGATCAACTACGAACCACATGGAAGAGCGACCAGTTGCTTTTCCATTTCCCTAGCACCTTTGCTCTCTCCACCACACAAAGCCTGGCAGCACACCTCAAATCATTTCGTAGCCAGGTCGTAGGCTACTGTTTGAATGTTGGGAGGTGAGGGGCAATAGTCTCCTACAAGTTGGGTGTTCTTTGTTGCTGATTCCATTTGTTCGCTCCAACTCTCTGTTGCGTCTGCTGCGCAAGAATTGAACTTGCTGCCACTGTAAGTTTGTTCCGTTTGCTTCTTCTTTTACTAGCCTTCTCTTCTTCTCTTTGAACCTTCATTACATTGTGTATGGCTTTTATTTCCGGACGAGCCTCCTTTGGTGTGAGCTTTCCTTTCTCTATGTGTTTGGGCGGGGGGAGTTTTGTTTTTATAATTGCTTTCCTTTCTGTGAGTGTTGTGGTCGGGAGGTTTACCTGTGGTCTTCACAATGTGAGGGTTGTTTCCAGAGAGATATCTATTTGTGAATCTTCTTGCTGGCGGGTAGGTCTCACATATCACATAGAATCACATAGAATTCTTGAAAACACATATTTGTTTGGAATTTTTACTGAAGTGTTGTTCTATTTTTCAGTTTTTGTCTTTGTACTAATTTTGGGTTTTTCGTGGGAGTGTAGTGATGTATTGTTGTTTGGGATGTGTGTTGTTTGAAAATTGGTGCCAGCGAAGTATGGGCCTTTTCAATGCGTGGTATCTGTTTCAGTTGATTCACTCCGGCTGTTTTTTTGGGAGGGCTCGCCTTTTGTTATGAAGCAATACCTATTGATATTGCTAGCTTTCCTATTGTGTGTTGTTTGTTGTTGTGTTTTGAAAAAAATGCTATAGTTGTTATTAATATGCCTGTCACAGATTGAAGTGTGTTTGGTTTGCAATTATCATGTGTTGGTTTGTATTTTTCTTGTTGGGATTATTGGGTAGTGTGCCTTTCTATACCTCCTCCTGAAGTGTGTTTTGTTCGCAATTACCATGTCTTGATTTATATCTTTGGTGTGCCAATGATTAACATGCGAAGAAGTTTGCCTTCCTTTCCTCTCTACCTGGCGTATTTAACATGCTTAATTGCCGTTTTTTACATGCGTATGTTCGTGTTTCTTTTCCCAACAGGTTGTTCTGTGCTGTTTGTTGTAGCTGAATCTTCCTGTTGCCTGCCTGTTTGTTCTTCTGACCTTCTGTTCACAGGTTTTGAACTAGCACACTCTTTCTGTTTACTCTATTATTGCTTCTGTTTTGTTTGCAATTTTGCCGAATGCCTCTATTGCCACCGCTTCTTCTTTCGGATGGAGTAATATTTTCGCTAACGTTTATGATGCATGCGCTATGGTCCTGCCTTTTCTGTATCCCTTTTGCATAACTGCTTGCTTCCCTCCTTATATCAGTTTAGGAAGTCAGTTGTGTTTATATTTGTTTTATGTTGTATGTTAGTTATTTTGTCAATGCCTCCTCACGGGGGTTTGGTTCTATCGTGTCCTCGGAAGAGCAACGTGATCGCAGAAATAGCCGACGCAGACTGTCACGCGTGTGCAATGGTGCTCAAACTCGTAGCCGTGCATCGAGTTCATCAGCGCCTTCAGAGTATGTGTGTTGTGGTGACAGACTTCAAGGTGTGTGCTTGTGAATGTGTGTTCATTCAGACATATAATTCTGCAATGTGTCAGTCGATGCCTAACGTATTCACTTTTCTCATCATGTACCCCTCTGGCGTCACGTGCAGACTACCCTTTACTGTGTCCAAATGATAATACCCTGAACACTGCATTCCATACAAGTCATACACACTCGCATAATCTATACAAACATATCCTTACTGTATAATCCCTTCCTTGTTTATCCTTTAACTTCACCTCATGTCTGTGCCGCTCACATCTTATCTACGATTGCATCTTAAACACAAAACTGCCAATCCATTGTTTGAATCTGTCATGATCTTATGCCCCCTTTTATGGACCTGCAAGGCCAGCGTGAGCGAGGCAATGTCAGCCTGAGCCCCCACCACCAAACAGCCGAGGGCAACACCTTCTACTAACAATGAATTGTACCGGCTTAAACCAATGCCAGATTGTTTATTCTGTGGGGCTGAGCGTATACAGCACGAACCTGCAGGAATGTGTTGTAGCAGGGGGGAGGTCGTTCTT